TTTTTCTTTATTACCCATCTCAATAGAACAAAATTGAATTTTTGGTACATCGGTTTCACTTTCACGAACCTTTCCTTGATGCCGTCGTACCGCTCTTCCCTTTGGCTTCCACCAATGAGTTCTCCAACCTGTTTTTACAGAGAACAATGTAACAATAGACGACGTTATGTTTTACTTCGATGAATCACACAAAAAATATGGATACAGGATTCGACTTTAAGAGCAAAGATGATTAGAGCTGATTATATTACCTTTGGGACGAGGACATCCATGGCAGCAACCGTCTCTTTATCATCGTTGAGTCTCATGTAAAAGGCTTTGATCCCTTTCGGGTAGTTATAGACAATAAGAGGCTTTTGAAATATAACCTCTGTCAAGTATCTGAAACGGGCGATATAGGGAACTACGTTAATATTGATTTCTTAGGAGTGTTTTTAGTTGAGAAATTTTTTACAGAATATCACCAACCTTTCATGCTCAGAAGCTAGGTCGATTCCCCACTCTACGTTGTTCTCGAATTTCTTTCCTTTCGCCACGGCTTCTTGAAGTAGTTTTATTGCTTCAGTGTACGTTACACGCCCAAACGGGGTTGAGGCAACCAGCTTTAGTCTGTCAATGCATTCCTTGTCGAAATTCTTAGCTATAAGTTCCATGTCATCGTAACATTTTTCAAGCAACCACTGGCACATGTATCTCACATACGCCTCCGCACAGTTCATGTCGTCCTACACAAATTTTAAATCCAGTTTCAAAGATACAGCGGCTATATTTTGAGTAAGAGGATACTAACGAAAACCAAATGTTCATTACCTGTAGATCTGCAAAAGCTAATTCAGGCTCAACCATCCAGAACTCAGCTAGATGCCTTGAGGTGTGTGAGTTCTCTGCACGGAAAGTCGGACCAAATGTATACACGCTGCTAAGAGCGCAAGCATAGGTTTCCACTTGTAACTGACCAGAAACCGTCAAGAAAGCTTGACGACCAAAGAAGTCTTTGGAATAATCAATTTTTCCATCTTTTTTAGGTAATCCAGGCTTAAGCTTTGACCTCTCTTCAACCATAGCTAAAGTCTCCTTAGCCTTAGTAAGCTCAGCAACGGAAGCAGTGATCTCTTCCTTGCTTGCTTTAGCAGCTTTGAGTTGCGCTACAGCTTCACCTTTCTCCTTGACAAAGAGCTTGGCAGCTTCAACGTCAGCCTCTGTAGGCGGAGGGTTCTGAATGAGCTCCCTCTCCAACTTCTCCATTTCGTTGATCAAGGTTGTTACTTGGAACATTTCACCAGCACCTTCGCAATCACTTGTCGTGATGATAGGAGTGTGAATGTACAGGAAACCATACTCTTGAAAGAAACAGTGGGTCGCGAAAGCAAGCGCATTGCGGATTCTTGCAACTGCTGAAATCTGAAAACACACACAAATATAACATTTACCAAACTCATACCATAAAGTGCAAAATCCAAAGGCTCAAGGACATTGTCAAGAAAGCGAGCCTATGAAACAAATTCCGATCAAGGCTCTATAAGAATCTGTAAATCATCGTTACTGAGATAGGAATCTGTAAACTACACCAATCAAGTTCTATGATTGAATCAAACACAGGAACAGTTTCAATCAATCTCAATGGAAGATAAAGAAGTTTTACCGAGTTGGTTCTTGAACGAAGATGAAGATAATCTCTCAAGAACTCGAGAGTCAACTTAGTCTTAGGAAGCGGGTACTTAGCCGGATCCACCGGTCCCAAATGTATCACCTTCTCGACGCTAAGTTCAATCTTCTGCTTCGTACCTTTACCTGCTGGTGGCATCTTCAAAACCCCATCAACGATCACACAAGTTCCCGTCGCAACCAGCGGAGAGAGATCTGATACAGACGATTCCACCATAACCTGAAGGTTCGCTGGGCAAGATCCATCATTCACCTCAAGGAAAGCGAAAGTCCCTTTTCCTTGTTCCCTTCCCGTTTTAACCCATCCGCCGATTCTGACCTTTTGGCCGGCGAGTCCAGCTCCGCCGTCGGGTCGACCCAAAATGGATCTAATCAGAACCCGGTCCGAAAACTTCGCTTTTTGCACCGTCGACGAAGAGGATCCATCGTTTCCCAAAGATACGGAGGCTAATTGATCAGCCGGCGGAGAAATCTCATCGCTCATTGTTCGTAGTTTCGGAGTTTTTGGGGGCGTTGAAGATAAAACCCTAAAACTGGTTTGAGAAATTGGCTGTGTTGAAATGTGAGGATAACCGTTGGATCGTTGGTTCCCTTTTCTATATATGTGGTTGGATTCTGAGAAATTTCTGTAGGGGTAAAAATGGAAATTTAGTAAATTAAAGATTCTAACGAAGGATAGAGAATCTTTGCTTCGTATATACGAGAGTCACACTAGTAGATACGAAGCTTTTTTATTCCAACCATTAATCACAACTAAGCTATTTTATTCCAACTATGGAAGGAAACCAAAAACAGAAGAAATAAAGTAGAAATTTTTTTTATAGAAAGTGTGATTATAAAAATTATCAACCATGGAAATATTTTTGTAAAAAAATTTATCTTCCACAATTTTTGGATTATATTATGCGAAAAAGATTGTATGGGCTTTTAGGTCTAATATTGACGCTTTACTATGAGGCCATAAAGCTCTTTAAAAAAGGCCCGAGTAAACCATCTGCGTTTAGGTATAAATATCTATCATCCGCTTGAAGAAACCCTAATTCTGAGATTTCGCACTCATTTTTTCACCGTCTTGCAATCGTCGGAAGAAGAAACAAGGAGAGAAGCAAATCCATCATGGGTAATCAATCCTCTGATAGTGTTTTTTTTCTTAATATCAACATTTTGTAGCAGTTGTGAGAATCGAATCGAAATGATTTTGGTTAGATTTTTTTGCTTTTTATTTTGGACTCTGGATCTGTTAACGGTGAGTGTTTTTGTTCATTTCAGGGAAAGTTCACGGATCTTTGGCTCGTGCCGGTAAAGTTAAAGGACAGACACCGAAAGTAGCGAAGCAAGATAAGGAGAAGAAACCTAAAGGACGTGCCCACAAGCGTATGCAGCACAACCGTCGTTTCGTTTCCGCCGGTAATTTCTCCGATCATTGACTCTTCCATTGTTGCATTTAGCTTATAACGCAGTGAATGCTCTATAGTGATTGTGAATACTCTAAATTTCATGTATAGGGAACAATCTAACAATAATTGTATTAAGTTGGGAATGTTTTTACACTTTAGAGTTTGATTTTTCTATAGGAAGACTAGAATCGTAAATGTTTATGGGTTGCTTTGGACTTTATAACGAATACTAATATAAATATGTTGGTGGATTTCTGCAGTTTCTGAGAAGTAGAAGATAGATGCTGAAATGAGAATTCTTTCGTGAAGCTTCTCAAGGCTATTTTGTAACTTTGGGAAACTTTTTTTTTCGTTTGATATTATTTATCATTCTTTGTTTCTTTGTTACCAAATTTAATATGTTTTGATTCTTTGCTACGAAATACGGCTTTTTACATTTGAAATTGATTAGAAAGATTTTGCCATTATATTGATACCATAAACCTATCATTCCTTCTGAATTCTAAAAGCCAGTTGTATGTTCTGTGGAATGACTTCCTTCTAATTATGGAGCTTAAAACAAGGCTTGATTCTGAGCTTCACAGTTCGTCGTGAAATCCTCTGGCCGAAGCAGAACCCTTCTCCTTGAGGTACTGTACGGCAATTGACGCATGGATTGCAGCCCCGTATGGAAGCACGTCCTCATTGATTCTATAGTGCGGTGAATGAGGCATCGCATAAGTTTTGTTCTCATCTTGCATTCCCAAGAGGAAGAAATGTCCTGGGATGGCCTCTGCGAAGAATGAGAAGTCCTCAGCTCCCATAACCTGTGCTGCTTCCACGACAGCTTCTTGACCCAACAAATCTCTGACCACGTTTTTGAACTGCCTGTATAAATCTATGTCGTTCACTGTTGGTGGGTATGGCTCTCTACCGTTTGGTGCTAGGTTCACGGACGCATTGCATCGGAGAACGTCTGCTTGCTTGGTGATAACCTAGAATCAAAGGTTGAAACCTAAATTTGGTTACGATACAGGAAAATCTAAAAGGCGCATTCTTGAAACATGAATCGCACCTCTTTGATTCTCTGTTGAAGTTGAGTTAATCCGGTAAAGGCTCGGAGAGTTCCTCCTATGGTGACTGAATCAGGGATTACATTGAAGGCATTGCCTCCATGAACCTTAGAAACTGTAACCACCTGCACAACAAACCTAAAAGTGTTGTAGAAGAAAAGTCAAGACAAGGTCAAACAAACTCTAAAGGGAGTAAAAAAGAAACCTTTGAATCCAGCGGGTCGGCTTCACGTGAAACCAACTGTTGAAGACTGAGGACGATGCTAGCAGCTGCGACAACAGGGTCTATTGTATGCTGCGGGATGGCAGCATGACCTCCTTTCCCGGTGATTACAGCCTCGAAGCGTCCAGCTCCAGCCAGTATGGGACCTGCGCGTGTAGCGGCTTTGCCAAAAGGAATCCGGTTGGAAAGATGAATCCCGAAGATTGCTTTGACGTCCTTCAGTGCTCCTTCTTCTATCATCTTCTTCGCCCCGGCTAAACCTTCTTCAGCTGGCTGAAAGATGAGCACCACAGTTCCCTAACGAAATGATTGGTGCCCAAACATATGTCTTAGTCCTAGGTTAGTCAGTGTCGTTGATGAAGGGAAAAAGGGCAATGAAAGACAATGCATAAACATATGTCTTAGTCCTGAGGTTAGTGTTCCTGATTAAAGCAAAACCTGTAATTCGTGGCGATGTTCTTGAAGTAACTTTGCAGCACCAAGAAGCATAGTGACATGACCGTCGTGTCCACAAGCGTGCATTTTCCCAGGGACTTTGCTCTTGTGCTCCCACTCAACAGCTTCCTGAGAATCAATCAAATTTCGATCGAGTTTCATAAGATTCATAGAGACTTAAAAGCTCTCTGAATCCATTTCTCTCTGGATTTAAGGAAACATCAATTTCACTATGAATTGACATTTCGAAATGGTACAATACCTGAATAGGCAAAGCATCCATGTCGGCTCTCAGGGCGACGAACGGCGGTTCTCCGGTGCCAATATATCCGATAACGCCGGTGATAGCGACGGGATACCTGTACTTGACTCCGATGAGGTCAAGCTCCGATCTAATGAGTTTACTGGTCTCGAATTCCTCGAATCCCAGCTCCGGATTCTCGTGGATTTTCCTTCTGATTCTCACCATCCAATCGAAAACCTCCGGAGTCTTGGCGGATTCGAAGAACTTCTTCACATCTCCTCCGGTGGTCCATGAAGATTCCGATGAATCCACACGAAGTAGGAGGAGTAGTTGGAAAGTCAAACTGAAGAGCAAAAGAGCCATTGCACTGAGGAAGAAGACAACGAATTTCTGATGCGCCATAGTATATATGATCACAAAGCTCGGCTCTTAATGGGCCAAATATTTTAATTTAGGCCCATTTTAATAAGCACTACTTTTTACAAAGTATTTCAATTTTCAAACTTTCAAATTTTTCTTTATAAACCGTAGAAGTTTCGAATTTGGTTCATAATCTCCTCAATATCCGGAAACAGTTTTTAGATATTTCGATTTAAAAAATAATAACTTTCCATCCAAAGCGGTTTGAACCCAGAGCACAAATAAACCAATCACCTTGGATTACCACTAGACAACCAACCATTTGATAAATTTTCAAATTAAGTATCACACATATCGTTCTATATATATTGCTGCCACCATATGTTTTTTTCAATCATGTTTACAAAATTTATCATTGATTTCCAAAAAAAATCTATAATCTACAATTTTCTGTCTTTGTTTTCATGTACATTCATCAACTACTACTATTAGGTATTCACTATTAGGTCCTGAAACAAGAGATTAAAATCTTATTTGGGAAAATTTTATTTAAATTGCAATGGGGATCAAAAATACAGATATATGAATTTGATAAACTGTAAATTTATAGTTATGAATCAAGTTTAGACGTTCAAAATCCGATAGACAGGTACAATGTATTTGACTTAATATAATTTTTGACAAACATATAAATGGTTATACTTTTTTCTTTATGGTCACATTTTATTTTACTTTATGAGTTTTGTATTTTTTAATATTGCTAAATAATTCGTGGTCAAATTCTTGGATTCTCTCTAATTATAGGGAAAGGACTTATCCTCTCCTAAGCCACCACTATAAATACCGTATTTTGTGTCTTCGTCGAGTTGGACATTTTGGCAGACGATCTCTCTCGATCTTTACTTTTCAATTCATCTTCTTCTTTTTTTTTTGTTGAAGATGACTATCTCTGTAGAAAAACCTGTTTTTGGTAAGCACACATCTATCTTTTTCTTTTAAAAACAAGGGGTCCAACTGGATTTGCATTTCATGGGATAAAATCATGTGGAATACGTCATCTCTGTTGTGCATACGACGAAAAAACTACTATTTACATAGAATAAAAAGTAAATTTCATTTCATTGCATCCCGTGACTTATGTGGAATTGTAGAAGAAAATAGTTAAAAAAATATTCACGAAAGAAAAATACCATGAATAGAATAGATGGGATATAAATATATAATTTTTTTTTAAAGAAGTTATTGTTATGATTTTCTACCGATCGGAAGTGGTCAAGTATCATTTCTTATAAGTATAGACACAACTAGCTTAAATTACAAAACTAACAATCAACAAATTGAGTCCATGACACTGTGGTCAAGTGGTAAGAAGACGAAACTGGGACGCCGACACGTTTCAAGTTCGATCCATCTGCTACGCGAAACTAAGTCACATTATCCTGGACACTCACATGGATATGGGTCCTTGTTTTCGCTCATTTGGATATTCGTAGAGAGGGTCTATCCATCGGCTGCACCTCCTCCAAAGATTATTCTGTGCCTTTTGGTCTAGGATTTATCCTGAGTTATTAAAAAAAAAACAATCAACAAACTGAAGAGTAAAAGTAAAAAAATTAGTATTATCGTTCATCTTTTATTTTCTTAATAAAATATATGTTATGTTATATACAATTTTCGTTTCTAGATAATATTATTTAATTTTAATCATATTTATTTTGTATTACATTATATCCCTTTAAAATACGACCATTCATCTTACATAAATATTTGTATGCGATTATTTATTCCATTCATCTTATTCATCTAAATATCATTATTCCATTCACCTCTATTCCATTTCTTTTAATTCAACTTATTTTGAACATTCCAAAATTTGACTACCATTTAGACCCAAGAACTTTTCGACGCACAAAAAGACAGTAGAGTTTAAATCGGACAGCGGAATTACAATGTCGAAGATATCATCTGACGATGAAGTATTTTTGGCTCCTGAGATGAATGCATTTGGTCGCCAGTTTAGGTATTATTTTTACTTGAAAATAAAATAAATGATTTTTCAAATATTTATTTTTGAATTTTAGATTTGATCAATGTTAATCTGTTGTAGAGATTACGTTGCAGATAGCGAGAGACAGAAAAGCGTCGAGGAGTTCTATAAAACACAACACATTAGCCAAACTTTGGACTTTGTAAGATCTATTATCTATTATAAATTTAGGATTTATTATATTTTGTGTCATTGTGTGTATATATAATTATACCTAGACATAATATAACGCACATAAATGTGAGTTATATACATTTTACATGTATATTTTCTGGACGAACATTTCTATAGTGGAATTAGAATATGTAAATACCAGATTTTATGTTATTTAAATTTTATCAAAATTATGAAGAATTTATTATTCATACACTATGTAGAATATTGATTACAGCCAAAATGAACATATAATAAACATTTGTAGGTAAAGAAAATGAGAAATGATTATGGAAGATTGGACAAGATGGTGATGAACAATTGGAAATGTTGCGAACTTCTTAACGAAGTTGTGGATGAGAGTGATCCTGATTTAGACGAACCACAAATTCAACATTTGCTTCAATCCGCAGAAGCTATTCGTAAAGATTATCCTAATGAAGATTGGCTTCATCTCACTGCTCTTATTCATGGTAAATCATTAACTGTGTAGATACATAACAAAAATTCATGTCTATAATCTATAAATCAAAATTATGGAATCTTAAAATTAAATGTGTTTAATTTTGTAGATCTTGGGAAGGTTCTTACTCTTCCACAGTTTGGAGGGTTTCCTCAATGGGCTGTTGTTGGTAAGTTGAGCTTCTTTTTCTTTTCAGATTTTCGTTATCAATTGATTGTAAATAAACTAATCAACTAATTACTAACTTATTATATTTGAGTTCTGTCTATCAAAACCTGCAGGTGACACATTTCTTGTTGGATGTGCATTTGATGAATCTAACGTACACCACAAGGTAGATATAAATCTCAATATTTTGCTAATTCATTCTTAAAAACATATTGATACCTCGAATCTAAATTTTATCTCTAACATTTCTTTTGCAGTATTTTATGGAAAACCCTGATTTTCACAACCCAAATTACAAAACAAAAGTTGGGATTTATTCTGAAGGATGTGGACTAGAAAACGTTTTCATGTCATGGGGCCATGATGACTAAAAGTATCTGGTAACATTATTAATCCACAACTACTATTATAATTTAGTAAATATGATATAAAAACCGCTAATTACATATGTTTATAGGTAGCCAAGGAGAATGAAAGCACATTAGTTTACCATCCCCTGGACTGTTCATCATCCGATACCATATATTCCTTTCATCGTAAGCATATTCCTGAT